TTCCTTAACAATACCTTTTTTTCCCATTCACTTTTGTAACGTTTTTCTTTTATGGCTAGAATGATACCTTCCTTATATCCAGGAGCTAAGAGTGCATGTTTATAAATTTCACCAAGTTGTCTTGTGTATCGATAAATTTTGTTGGGTGCTTTCAAGTGATCATTTTTGTCAAGAGAAACCATTTTTTTTTTTTTCAAAAAGAGAATTAAGAAAGAAAAAGAGATTATTTTATATATACCTACTTTATATATGTCTTTTTATGTCCTATGATGTTGTCAAAGCAGAGCTTTGATCTAAAGATAAAGAGGAAGGGCCCTATGGTTAAAACTGTTCATGAACAAAAGGATAATTAATCTAGGATTTTTTTTTTTAACGCAGGGATGACAACATTTACTCTTTTATTGATGCTCAATATGGACTTTTGTTTATTAATCCATTGTTAAAAAATTCAGAATGTGATTGATTATCATGATTTATATGGTCTATATAATAGTTATAAAAAGCTTCATTGCCTATGTTCTTTGTTTTTGGATACATAGTTATCACATTTTTCTTGTTTGGATCGAGTTTTTTTTTTTATATATACATGCCACCTCTGCATACATGCCATGTAAATCAAAATAGTTAGACAAGGATAAATTTTGATTCGTACCCAAAATCCTATTCGAAAAATGACACTGTATTCTTTTTATGGACTTCAAGTAAAGCAATCCTATAATTAAAATAACTGTTTTCTTTTTTTCTTTTTTTTTATTATATGACTGTCATGAGATCTAGTGAATAAATTAATCTCGGTATTTACTCAGTATGATATTAAATCCGGGTTATATAAAGCTAATATATCCGTGCTATCTACGACCAAATTCCTATACATATGAAACAAACTGTGATGTTTTATTTTGTTATTATAAATAGAGGAAAAAATAATTATAAGTACGATGAAACTTATAGACTTTATTTAGAGTAAAATTCTTATTAAAAACAAGAGTGTACTTGGTTGATGTGCGACGATAGCCTTATTTTTCTAAAAGGAAAAGTGCGTCTACAGGTAGGAGAATCACCGAGACGAATATTATCACCTAAAAAGTTCTTGATGTAGTCAAAAGATATCAACAAAGCGCAGTCCCTTGCAATGCTAGTTAAAGCTCCTTGGTGGGATACTTGGCGGGAAGCCGTAATAGAGGACTGGTTTGCAAGCCTAAAGTAGTCCTTGATCATACCGAGTTGAAAATATTAAATGAAATCTTTCTTCCGTAAAAGTAAGAATCAATTGTACAAGTTCTTTTGTAGTACGCGTGTACTGCGTTCTGTTTCTACAATGAAAATACAGTCGACCACCAGCATCCGATCTTTCGAACATAAGCATTCGCTTATCACAGCCTTCCTTTTCACAAATACGGCTATCATTGAAGGCACCGATTTCCCGCTAGTACTTATAAAAATAATAACATAAGTTATAAAATAGTTGTATACATTCTCCCAAATATTTACTCTCTGGCTACAACAGTTACGCCTTCTAGTAAATATTCACCTGCAGGAAGATGTCGGTTACGATAACCTCTTCCTCGATAGGCAGAAGGTTCTTGTAATACGACTTCTTACAGAGAAATCGGTTTCTTGATTGTCACTTGTTAAATTTAAACTAGGAATTGTTGTGAAATTTGACGGTCTATATAAATAGACAGAATCTAAATTAGTATTCGTGCAAAGTCAAATATAAAAAGAGTGCACTGCCAAGTCCCCAACTCCAGAGCCAGTTTGGCTTTCCATTTATACATTACACGATGTGTCTGGTGAGTTAATCGATTAGGCTATCCTCCTTTCTCTAGGAACCATTTTAGAAATCGTCTGGCGCCACCACTGGATGTGCATCTTTGACAACACATCTTGGTCCAACGTTCTAGCTGACTCTTTACATAATTATTCTCTTTCTCATTATCTCACTACGGCTGCTAATTCTCATGAACCTATAGACATTAGCTAATAACTTCCTTTTTAACTCATTATTTTAATAATAAAAAAAAAAAAAAAAAAAAAAAAAAAAAAAAAGTCAATATAAACTAAAGTGTTTATAGGTTTTCATTAAAAAACTTATTTAGCAATATACAGATTCAATGCATATGAAGAAAAGGACTTTAGATGTATTATAAAACAAAACAAAAGAGACATAGTTATTAGGGTCTTATTACACACATTTATGAACATAATTTATTATTTTAAAGATGGATATTTATTTATTATTCAATTGATATGATAGTTCCTTTAGTTAGAGCAACAGGAGGCACCACGTGAAGGTAGAACTAAGAGCCTCCCATTTTCATAGCTCAACACCGGCTATGGGGAATTTCAACCCTAGGGAAGCCAATCCAAAAAAAAGTCGTAGCAGTTACCCACTAAAATTTAGTGAGTATGCAGAAATGAATGTGTAATTATATATATATATATATACTTACCATTGATGATACCAATCAGAGCATAAAAGCTGGCGACCTATGTATAATCAAATGTATAGATTTGGCCGTTAAGCCAAACTCCAGCGCCCTCGCGTCGATCAAAACTCCAGGGGCGATCTAACATCCTCCCGTTGACCAGAACCCCCAGGCAGATCGCAGCACGTGCAACTGACTCTACACTAAGGGCTTTCAAGTATACACAACCAGCTATCCAAATTGAAGGAACCTACTACATTTTTGGAAACCATGTCAGTCGAGGAGCCATATCACCAGAGAAAACCATATCACCAGAGAAAACCATATCACCAGAGAAAACCATATCACCAGAGAAAACCATATCACCAGAGAAAACCATATCACCAGAGAAAACCATATCAGTAGAGGGGAAAGTAGAGATAGTTTTAAAAGTAGAGATAGTTTTAAAGTAAAGAAAGAAAACAAAAGTGACAATAGAAAAAAGTTGACCTATTTATATGTTTCCACGATAAAAAAAAAAAAAAATTATCGTGTCCATTAGTTTCAGATGTGTATTCACCGGAAGAAAAAAAATACACACACACACAAAAAAAAAAAAAAAGAAAACCCTCCACTTGACATCCTTGAAAGCTCTCAAATTTACAACAGATCATTTTTTTATATCATCTTTTTTTTTTTTTTTTTTTTTTTTTTTTTTTTTTTTTTTTTTTTTTGTAGTTACAGGTTCGTGATGGGTTTTTCTCTTTTGTAGTGGACTGGGTTTTAGGTATGTAAAGTTAACATACTGATTATATAATGTTTATATTGGCTCCTAATTAATATGTCTCTTTTTAGGATTATGTGTGGATGTTGTGGATATGGATGTTGTGGATATGGATTAAAGGTAATGCTTATATTCAATTTAATACATATCACATTTACTCACTCATATTAAAATATAGGTAATATTTTTCTCTTTTTCTTTTAAGATGAGGCTGGTAAGGGCTTGGACCAGAGAGGTTTCAATCAAGTGGTATGTATAATCATTTGAGTCGCTGTTTTTCTATCAAAGGTGTTTGGTTCGCTTCATGTTCTTTTTCTCTTATGGCTCTCTTTCTCACGGCTCTCTTTCTCTTCTGGTTGGTCTTTGTCAAGTATGTGAAGGAATACACTTGCACTTCTCTCTTTATAGATTACCTGTCACTCTTTTCTTTTAAACATGCTTCTAACTATTTACTTTAATAAAAAAATAATCCTTTGGTTATAACATCAAATAATAAAATGATTTCTTAGTGGTAAATGAAATCCTTATTTTATATTCTTTCTGGGCAGTAAACCAGTAAACCAATATTACATTCGTTAAACCTGTGTTGACACTTGTTACACGACATGAAAAAAAAATATGCAAATATGCAAAATATGCAACAGCGCTCAATAAAAAAAAAGGGGGAAAGCTCTAGAATCATTGTATTTACACGAAATCATTGAAATTTAAGCATAAGTTTTAATATATGGCTTTTATAATGTGTATATATTAAGTGTAAATCTATACTTATAATCATTGTTTTGAAAAGTTGATTTTTTTTTTTAGATTAGCTTATTATGACACAAATAGTTATATAAGTCTGTTTACAGTCAACGTAGCGCCAAAAGGCGATTTTTTAAAACATAATGACGTTAAATATTTTTGTTGATTTTTCAAAAAAAAAAAACATGGGATAAAAGTTAAGAGAAATACAGGAGGAGCGTACATACATTATTTCTTAGCTTGACATGAAGCTACTTCTTAGCATAATTATATCAGTCTTTTTTTCGAAAGGATTAGAAAATGGGGGTTTTTTTTTCAGCTGACTTGAATGGAAGTAAAGGATCGACAATCATGTGTATTTTTTTTATAATCCGGTAAAAAAAACTTATTATAGTTTATTAGCTAATTGCTTGTCGTATCTAAACCAATCCCTGTTGACTCTAATGTGATACATGCTCTCTGAGCCACGCTTTATTTTCCTTTATAATAATAATAATAATAATAATAATAATAATAATTACAATAATAATAATAAATTTTCCCTTTCTTCCTTATATCTTTCTAAGCCGCGCATCGTGGAAAAACTATGACTGATCAAATCACAAATAATGAACACATACCAAGAACATATACCAAAGAAGAAGTTTTTGAACTATTCCAAAGATTCAGACTCGAAGAGCAAGCTACCGGCCAAAACTTTAGAGAAGAACATGAGTCGCCAATGGAAATCATTGACAGTCTGGAAAACCTTACGAAACAACAACACTAAGAAAATTTCAAACGTTATAAACGGGAAATTAGCAAATATCACCATGAAGAATGGATAATAGGAGAAGAAATCAACAAATCTTTTATTTCAAAACTCAAGAACTACACCGTTGATTCAACCTAAGTTATCAACACACATTATAAAAAAGACCCAGAAATTAGTCGTATCCATGGAAGAGCAGCAACTGAAATCTTCGAACAGCTTGCAACTATTAGACGTGGAAACATATCACCAACCGAAGCTCAACAACTTTTGGAAGAAGCCATGGAGAGCTCATAAATATTAGTGGCGATCCATGCTTGGATCCAAGCAAGACAGCATGATGAAGATGCAAAGGATTATGCCACGAAAGCACTTAGACTTCCAGCAAGTCTTCGACACTTGGAACGAAAAGAATCTGGAAATAAAAAAGAAGCATTTAGTACCGAATTCATCGAGATGTATAATGAAGCCAATTATCAACAACGAGTACTACGTGCAGCAACAACCAGTAACACAAATGGAGGACATAGAGGAGGATATTCGTCATCTTCAACTTGGAACAACAACCGTAGAGGAAGACGAAGCTTTTTCTCATCAACAAGAGGAAAAAACTTCTATGGGGAAGGGGATGTGGGGCCCCAACCTACTACAACATGTCCAACATTTCTCACAACAGTGGAACACAACAACACAGTTCAACTTAGCAACGCCAAGGAGCTTCCAACAGCCAGTAACACTAAACAGCTTACACATAGTAACACCAGTACAACAACTACTATCACCTCAACAACCTCTTTTACAACCAATTCAATTCAACAACCAATTCAACAACCAATTCAACAACCAATTCAATCATCCAACTGCACCATTCCAACGGACGGGATTCTACCTGGAAGCCGTCTACAGAAATTCTTACACCACTGGAAAAAAATTACAAATCACCCCTTAAAAAAAAAAAAAAAAAAAAAATTGAAATTCTATTATTATAAAGGAAAATAAAGCGTGGCTCAGAGAGCATGTATCACATTTTCGGTTCTTCCGTTTCGTCAACATTGGTATTGGTATTTACATGCGAGAAAAGATAAGCAATTGGGTGGGGGAACAAAACATGAAAAGTCGGATGAAGGATTTATCATTATTTTGAAGAAATTTACATGAAGTGAGTAGACTGTTCAAGTGTATTTTTCTTAATTGTTAAATGCACAACAATTAGGTGTAAGCTGGTATACAGAATTGTTTCTATTTTATGGCCTGTATTTTCTGATGAGCACTCGCCTTTAAATATATTTCAATCCTGTGAAGGGTACGAAAGTGTATGCCTGGGTGTAGTGTGCTTTTATACTATAATGAGGGGTACTTTTTTTTTTTTCTCTCTTGTCCTGTTTCTACCCAACACTTACTCAGGTTCATATTAAATTAAACGAGAACATTTCAACGAAGTTTATCTAAATCAATCAATGCATACATTATGAAATATATACCTTCTTGATAAATCAAGCTTTATATTTTAGCTTATGTATATCGTTAACTCTCGGTAGTAGTAATTACGATTTTAACTACCGGGATCCGCATTTCTTTTACAAATGAATTTTTTTTTTTAGTTACTTCTTAATATACCATCAATCACAAGCGAGCCTCACTTTGGATACTGCATGATAGGTACTCTTTTAGTTAGTTTTCAAGTTTTATACAATAAAAGGCCAAGATGTGATGGGGACTTGCTTAATTTTTTTTTTTTTTTTATTTTTTTTTTTAGCGCTTCAAATTAATAAAAGGGTGTTGTTTTCAAAATTCTGAACTGATGAACCGACGACCACCTGAATTATATCATCCCATATTTATATTGTAATATGAAAATGAAGAACAGCTTACATCAATTAAGCTAGATGCGAGTAGTTAGATAATTAAGGTAATTTGTTTAACAATTAGTGATAGATATATAAGAAGGAACAGATTTTTAAATGTTGTCGCAGTACAATCATTTAGGAGGGGAGTATATTTGTGCTAAACTCAAAAGGTATAACATGTTAAATATGCAACACTGTGATGATAAAAAGGGCTAATATTTCGCGTAAAGTCTTATTTTTATTACCGAGAATATACAAATAACACATGCGTCTTTTGTTTATTGATGTTGTATGTTGCGAGCTATATACCCTTCTAACGTCAAAATTCGATCCTATAGAGTGAGCGGCTAAATATTTTTCTGTTTGTGAGATTAGAGTCGGCTTTACTTTTTTGCTGGAGACTACACTATTCCCCCCCCTCCCCCCTATGTATTTTATTAAGTTGGGCTTTCGAATATACCTTTCTTTAACTTTGACTTATTAAATTGCATTGTTGTTCAGATGAATTGATGCGTTATATTAAAGCAAAAAAAAAAAAAAAAAAAAAAAAAAAAAAACCCCTCCTTGTTCTGATTAAATCCAGTATATGTCTCTCTTACACTTGGGTTTTCGGACGATATTCAAATTCATTTTTTCTTTTCTATTCGATTGTATGTCAGCATAACCCCATCAATTGAATGAATGAGAAACTTTCAATAGAATCTTACTATTCCAATGTGCATACAGAAATCAAAGGAATTAAACACATTGATACATAATACATACTCAAATATATGTATACCTAAAAAGCAGTACAAAATATATAAGAGGTGACTTTCTTGATCCCAATTCTTTGGTTTAATTTCACATCGAATTCATGTTTTCTCTAGAATATGTGCTACACACAGTAAAGACACGTGTAAAAAATTATGATTGATTCAAACCTCCCCCCCTCCCCTTTCATGACAAGACATTAAAAGATTGTTATAGAAAGAACTATAATTTACTTTGTAAGAGCATCATTTATTTAAGGAAACAAAACAATTAAAATGCCATTCGATTTTATAATCCATTCAAGTTGGATTGAATTTAGAGTGTGTTGGTCACACAGGAGAACGAGGAAGGTGCATTAGTGAAGAAGTACAGAGATTATTTATTTTTCAAAGATCGAACGGGTTATATTCGGCCCGACATATACAAATGTCTAATAATAATAAACGCCACAAGAGAGATAATTTTTGTTTTTTTAGTTGTGTTGATGATTAGGACAGGGACTGGTGTTTTCATTAAATGGTGTTTGAAAATTCTCTCTGCGAGATGATTGTGCATACTTTTTCTCAATTCGTTCTAATTGTTGATACGTATTTTGGGTACTTTTCAACCTCAAATCAGGCCAAGTGTAATCTTTGGTTTGTTTAAATAATGTAATAACAATCTTGTCTTTTTTTAACTATATTTATAATTATTAATGTATATGTATATATAAATGAATCTTTATATGTTTTTTTTTTTTTACCTTGACAGTTGTGCTTTCAGGGATAACCAAATCATTCAGTTGATTAATCTTGAAACTGTAATTTGCACCTTTCTTTTCATACTAGAAAACAAAAAGTTCTTTAAAAAATGACAACACTCTGCATAGGTACAAAGAAACTTACGATATTTAACTCTACACTTCTTTTAAGGACATTTATAGAATAATCATTTGGACCCAATTCGCTCGCTCGATCGAAATTCACGTATAATCTATAAAATGCATAAAAAAAAAAAATGAATGACTTTTAATTATAGACAGATAATGACAGTTTTTAACTTTACGTGACAGAGTTGGCGGTTTGACACCAAGCATAACCTGTTGTAAGATATATGGTTTGTTTTTCAGCCTATATACATATACAAGTTAGAGATTGTGTATATACAGAAAGAAAAAAGAAAAATATTTTGTTATTTACGTTGGATCTTTTGATAGGCTCGCGGATCACTTTGCGTTCACTTATTAAATCATCTAAAACTTTTTGAACAGATGGTAATGATGTTAAATTTCGAAGTCTATCTAACTCTTGATAATGTTGATCGTCCATATTTTTTTAAAAGAGAAGAAAAAGGATATCAAAAGGGAACAAAAGAAAAAGTAAAAAAAAAAAAAAAAAAAAAAAAAAAAAAAATATGTATTATCAAAAAAAAAAAAAAAAAAAAAAAAAAAAAAGTTATCTTTTGTCCAACCAAAAAAGTATACACTCCCTTGATTCAATTTTCTGACTTTTACCCTTATTTGGAAAACTTGACTTACAAATGTCAAAATCATAGAGACATGTATTACTTCTTTCGTTTGATGTACCTATATTATCCATTTTCACCTATTTTTTAATATATATATATATCTAAATATATCTACATTCTAGTCTCAGTCTATAATGTTTGAAGCAAATAATTCAAGTAAAGCATATGTTGGAAATATTTCAATTGTATGTACATACATTTATATAGTTACATACATACATCTTCGTTACCCTAGTGACGGGCACTGGTATCACGTGGATACGAGTTTATTGTCAGGGCTCTCTCTCATGAGTCAGATTAAGAATATAAAGATGGATTCCATGGTAAACTTGTAATTAAAACTGGGATTCTGCGGTAAATATTTTCACATCAAAAGAATTCATATTTGAGCTCAGTTTAACATATATTATAGAAATGTTTATTGTTTTAAAAAGAAAAAGAAAAAGGTTTCAACATGACTTCTAAGTTTAGTAACACAAATACTAAACTATCCCCTTTATATTATCTAATTATTTTGTTTAAAAGAAGCAAAAAATGTTATTAGAGAAAGAAGATCTTAAAAAAGCTTTTTTTTTTTTTTTTTTCTTGTGTACCGGGAAATCTGAACCCCATTTCAGATCCGCCCATAGATAAAATTTTTTATAATGATTGTTACGATTTGAATCTATTATTTTAGCATTTGAAAAAAGATCATTTTGACAGTTGTAGAAGAAATCTCTGTAGAATGAAATCGATTGTTAATGCAAAGACCACTCTTTTTTTAAAAACAATTAAATTGAGTAACTTTACACAGGGAAAAAGTCGAAACTTTAATTCGTGAGAAATAAAAAGGGAATTTTACAGGGTGATCTCATTGGACATGATAGAAAAGATCAGAACTTTTTTTTTTTTTTATTATCGTCAAAATTTTATTATCTATTTTATCGCGCGATTTATTCTTTCTTCTTTCTTTCTTTCTTCTTTTTATATAAAAACGTAAAGAAATAAATATATATATATATATATACAACAATTCATTTATTTAAAAAAAAAAAATGAACATTAAAGAAGAACAAATACTTTCTTCACCTCCATTAAGTGATGATGAAAAGAAACCAATGGAGGAAAGTAATGGTGAAGTGACAACAACTACAGTATGTGCGAATTGTGAAACGACCACCACACCTTTATGGAGAAGAGATTCTACCGGTCGTACTATTTGTAATGCTTGTGGTTTATATTATAAATTACATCTTGTTCATAGACCTGCAACTATGATGAGAACAGTGATCAAGAGAAGAAAACGGTGTTCTGCTAATGAGAAAAGTTTACAAGAAAAACCAAGCCATCGCAGAAGATCAACTGTGGTTGAAACTGAACCAGAAGAAATAGAAGAATTAAGGCCAAGGTCATTATCTCCTGATTATAATAGACCACCATTAAGCTACAGTAACGAAAGATCATTACCCAATTCGAATTCAAGTAGTCCTTCTTCACAATCCATTGTATTACCACCTATTTACCCACCTTCTACCGCCAACGCCAACGCCAACGCCAACGCCAACGCCAACGCCGTTTCAAATAATATCAGTCATTACAATCGTTCATCATCACCCACAACACATCGATATCCTCCACCTCATCATCATCATCATTATCATTCTATCATGAAACAAGATGAAATTCATGTTTGTTCAAATACCATGGAAACTCGTAAAGAACAACGAAATAATTTACAAAGAGAAGTGAACCGATTAACCACTTTATTATCAAATACGATGGCTAAATTACAAAATATAGACCGAGCCATCGCTAATCCAACTCCTCCAGATCAATTTTGTAATAAATGTCCCACACCCCATTATTTCACAGACAATAATAACAACAAT